TGGCTGACCCGCCTCTCTCCTCCCACGGGCCACCTCTGCTTTCCGGCCCCACCGCGTGCTCCTCCATCCCGCCCCTGCCACAACCCCCTCCTCCCGGGCCCTTCCCCGCTGCACCCGCTGGCTTCCCCAGGCCCCCCGTCGGCCCCCCAGGAGCTCTGGTTCGAGGTTCAAGGCTCGGCGCTCATGCTGCACTGGCGCTTGCCCCAGGAGCTGGGGGGGCGAGGGGACCTGCTCTTCAACGTCGTGTGCAGGGTGTGTGACGGCCGCCAGGAGCCCGGCGCAGGGGGCGCGTGCCGCCGCTGCCCGGATGAGGTGCACTTCGACCCCCGCCAGAGGGGCCTGACTGAGAGCCGAGTGTTAGTTGGGGGGCTCCGGGCACATGTACCCTACATCTTGGAGGTGCAGGCTGTCAACGGGGTGTCGGAGCTCAGCCCTGACCCTCCCCAGGCCGCGGCCATTAATGTCAGCACCAGCCACGCAGGTGAGCCCTGCCTTGTCCTAAGCCTTACCTCGCCTTTTCCGAACCCCTCCCCGACTCCCGCCTCCTGGTCCCTGGAAACCCCCTTCTAACCCCCCATCCAGTTCCCTCAGCAGTCCCTGTGGTGCATCAGGTGAGCCGGGCCTCCGACAGCATCACGGTGTCCTGGCCTCAGCCAGACCAGGCCAACGGGAACATCCTGGACTATCAGCTTCGCTACTATGACCAGGTGCGGGGGCAGGGTGGCCCAGGAGGGCTGGGGGGATCTCACAGTACCCCACCATGGGGCTAGAGGTGCGGGGACCAGGAGGGGTGCCCAGGAGCCCTGTGGAGGGTGGCAGAGGCCAGAAGCCTTGGGGGTGTCGGTTGGAGCAGGAGTAAGGGGCTGAGGCCTGCCAGCAGGGAGTGAATGGCTATCACCCCCAGGCAGAAGATGAATCCCACTCCTTCACCCTGACCAGCGAGACCAACATGGCAACTGTGACACAGCTGAGCCCCGGGCACATCTACGGCTTCCAGGTGCGGGCACGGACCGCTGCAGGCCACGGCCCCTACGGGGGCAAGGTCTACTTCCAGACGCTGCCTCAAGGTGAGCGGAGGCCTGGATGGAGGGCGGACACCAGAAGGTGGTAAGGAGAGGCCAGGGGCCCCCCTGGTCTTGAACCCTCCCCCAGAACCCTCCAGACCAGAGGCTGTGAGGAGAGAGCTCATGGCTGAGCCGGGGTCACCGGGTTGGCGGGCAGGGGGTGCATGTTGAGGTGTGTAGGTGCGTGCTCATACGAGGCCTCACCCACCTGTGATCTTGGGTGCCGGTTCCTCAGGTGAGCTGTCCACCCAGCTTCCGGAGCGACTCTCCTTGGTGATTGGGTCCATCCTGGGGGCCTTGGCCTTCCTCCTGCTGGTGGCCATCACCGTGCTGGCTGTTGTCTTCCAGAGGTGAGCCCCTCCCCGCCATGCCCCCACCCCTCTCACTCCACATCGCAGCCCCAAAGCCCGCTGCAGAAACCCCCACCGCCCAGCGCCTTCCTCTGGGCCCACGCGAAGGCAGAAGGAGGGAGCTGGGGACCCTCCCCCTGGGGGCCCCGGCAGGACGGCAGCCTGTGCGGGAGTGGAAGGGGGAGGAAACGGGAGCGAGGCTCATTCCGGGACACTGGTTTGTCCCTCAGGAAGAGGCGTGGGACAGGCTACACTGAGCGACTGCAGCAGCACAGCAGCCCAGGTGAGGCAGGCGGAAGTGGATGGGATGGGGCCAGGGTTGGGGGCGCACCGATGAAGAGCAGGGGGCTCGGGCCAGGAGCACACCAGGTTCCCCCAAGGCTGAGGGGAGCTCCTCGGCACTGTCCTCGGAAGTAAGAGGGCGCGCCACTCCCCATAACGCACCCCGCACACCTCCAGGGCTCGGGGTGAAGTATTACATCGACCCGTCCACCTACGAGGACCCCTGCCAGGCCATCCGAGAATTTGCCCGGGAGGTCGATCCTGCTTATATCAAGATCGAGGAGGTCATCGGGGCAGGTACGGCGGGGGCAGAGGGAAGGCTTGGTAGGAGTCCTCCTCAACGTGGCAGGATGCCGTGAGCCCACCGTCTGTCCTTGACCGCCCCCAACCTGCACCCATCCTGCCAGGCTCCTTCGGAGAAGTGCGCCGGGGCCGGCTGCAGCCCCGGGGCCGGCGGGAGCAAGCGGTGGCCATCCAGGCCCTGTGGACCGGAGGTGCCGAGAGCCTGCAGATGGCCTTTCTAGGCCAGGCCGCAGTGCTGGGCCAGTTCCAGCACCCCAACATCCTGCGGCTGGAGGGCGTGGTCACTAAGAGCCGGCCCCTCATGGTGCTGACGGAGCTCATGGAGTTGGGGCCCCTGGACAGCTTCCTCAGGGTCAGTCCGGCCTGCGGGGGAGGCGGGCCCTTGGTTCTGGGCAAGTTTGCGGCTCTCAGCTGCCCTGGAGGCCCTACACCTTCGCTCCTCCCCGCCTGCCCCTGGTGGTCTTCAGCTTCATCCCCAGGCCATTTTCTGAGTCCTAAATCCCCTCGCCCTCTCATGCGGATGTCTGCTCCGCGTGTGTCGAGTTCCCCACTCAGTTGCTGACCTCTGCCCCTGCCCCTCAGCAGCGAGAGGGCCAATTCAGCAGCCTGCAGCTGGTGGCCATGCAGCGGGGAGTGGCTGCCGCCATGCAGTACCTGTCCAGCTTTGCCTTCGTCCACCGCGCGCTCTCTGCCCGCAGTGTGCTGGTGAATAGCCACCTGGTGTGCAAAGTAGCCCGTCTTGGCCACAGTCCTCAGGTGAGAACACAGCCTTGGGGCCTTTGCATCCTTCAGAGGGTGCTGGAGGAGGAGCTAGAGCTTGCGGTGGGGACCTCAGGGGCATAGCATTGTGTTTGAAGGCCTGGAACTCACCTGTGTTCCATCCGGGATAGAAGCCTGGACAAGGGGACATTGAAAGGTTTCAGAAACCGAGGCCATTGGGGAAGGTGGGAGGCCTCAGAAACCTAGAACCACCTCTCACCTTTCCCCTAATGACCACAGACTTTAGTCGGAGCAGCTGGGTACAGATCTGGGCCACGCCCCCCTGGGCAGTGACTGCGCGAGTGCATATCTCTCTGTGCCTCAGGCTCTGCATCGGTCCAGTGGGGATGGTATCATCCACCCTGCGGGGGCGCTGTGAGTGTTCAGAGATGCTTGACGTGAAGCCCTTGACTCACGTCTGCGCCTAGAGCAGTCGCCCGATAAATGTGACCTCTGCCGTGACGATCGCTGTTGTGACTTTTAACCGCACCCCTCAGGGCCCAAGTTGTATGCTTCGCTGGGCAGCCCCAGAGGTCATTGCACATGGAAAACATACGACGTCTAGTGACGTCTGGAGCTTTGGGATCGTGATGTGGGAAGTGATGAGTTACGGAGAAAGGCCGTACTGGGACATGAGTGACCAGGAGGTGAGCTCTTGACCGCGACGTCGCTGATCCTCACCCCTGAGCCCTTCGACCCCCTGGCCCCACAGACTTGCACATTCTGAGCCCTCCGCTCTCTAATCCGTTCCCACCCCGAGGTCTCCTGGCTCCCGTTCTCTGTGTGGTTCAGTTCCTTCCCCACTGCGATTTCATGGTCCAGCTGATCCCAGCCCACCTGCTTACGTAACGATATACTCCTTTCCGCTGCCAGTAGCTGCTTCCCCTTACCATATTCTTCCTCTGACCGCCAGGTACTAAATGCAATAGAACAGGAGTTCCGGCTGCCCCCACCTCCAGGCTGTCCTCCTGGACTACATTTGCTTATGCTGGATACTTGGCAGAAGGACCGTACCCAGCGGCCTCACTTTGACCAACTGGTGGCCGCCTTTGACAAGATGATCCGCAAGCCAGACACTCTGCAGGCTGGCGGGAGCTCTGGGGACAGGTCTGGAGCTTGGGGCTGGAGCCTGGGAAAGCCAGGGAGGGTAGATGAGAGCCCAAGAGAAAACCGAGGTGTGGGGGCTAGGATGAAGAGCGGACTTTGACCTGCCTGCCCCTCCCCCTTAGGCCATCCCAGGCCCTTCTGAACCCAGTGGCCCTGGACTTTTCTTCTCTGGACTCACCTCAGGCCTGGCTTTCGGCCATTGGACTGGAGTGCTACCAGGACACCTTCTCCAGGTGTGGCCTCTGCACCTTCAGCGATGTGGCTCGGCTCAGCTTGGAGTAAGCAGGGAGAGGTGGGGTGGGAGGCTCCAGGCCCGAGGCCAGGGCCAGCCAGGGCCGTGCCTGGGGTCTTGGAGAAGCTGGCTCAGGGTCTGCTCCTTCCCCACCAGAGACCTGCCTGCCCTGGGCATCACGCTGGCTGGCCACCAGAAGAAACTGCTACACAACGTCCAGCTCCTTCAGCGGCACCTGAGGCAGCCAGGCTCCGTGGAGGTCTGAGGCCCTGGCCGGAAGCTGTGAACTCCGGATGCTTAGGACCCAGCCCCAGGGCCAAGGAGGGACGTGGGAGCCAAGAGCCAGTCTCCTGGGCCTCTCATGCCTGGCACTCTCGACCCAACCTTTTGGATGCTTCCTAACCCTGTCCTCGGTCCCTTCCCCGCCCCCCTCCCCACATTAAAGGGAAAGACGGGATTTTGCAAGTTGGAGATGTGGTGAGGCCTCAGTCGGCAGGGAGAGGTCGGCAAGATGCCACCGCAGAGCAGGACGCAGGAGGGGAGCAGAGCAGGGAACATGTTTATTGGAAGGTGAAGCTGCGGAGACTCAAGCAGCTTCACCCCACCCCCAGAGCGCTGTCTGTCCCCTCACTCATGGCTTCTTCCACAAGCCTCCCCCACATTTGTGGAGTACCGGGACAGCGGTCCCCACTTCTCACTCTGATTCTGGGGTGGGGACTAGATGCCAGAGGTGGCAGGCCTGTCCTTAAAGTGCTTTGCTCCGACAGTGCGGGGTGGGGGTGGGACCCCCTGAAGGCCGACAAGGGTGGGGTTGCCGCCTTGGCCGCCCGCTTTGCGTCGCTCTGCAGCTGAAGGGGTAGTGGCGGCCGGGGAACCTGGGTCAGTCAACCCGGGTCAGTCGTTCCTCCCGCCTTGGCCTGCGAGGCCCGACCTCTAGGTGTGCTGGGTTCTGCTTCCGAGAGCGGCGCGCAGGGCAGGGAGAGCGACGCTGGGAGCCGGAGCGGAGCGACGGGCGCTCAGACCTGATACTCCCAGCCGTCCTCCTCCAGGCCCTTGTTGACCACGCCCCTCAGTTCCGACTTCAGGGCCCCCTGCCGCAGTTTCCCCCAGTTGGCGCTGCTGCGGGAGGTGCTTCGCGACACCGAGGGGGCAGCAAGGGCCAGGCTGGGGCCGGGGGCGCGGCCCCGCCGCGGTGCCTCCCAGCCTTTGTCCGGGTCGTGGGCGCCCCGCGTGCGGAAGGCCTGTGCGCAGCGCCGGGCTCGCCGCTGGCTGAGATCCTGTTTGTCTTCCACCCTGTGGAGGAGGACAGGGGACTTGAGAGGAAGCCGAGGGCAGAAGGGCTGGCGCTGGACTGGGCCTGTCTCCGGTCCGCACCCCATCCCTCCACGGCCGGCCTTTTCCTTGTCTGCGGCTGGCGTGGCCCAGCCCCCCGCACTGCCACTCACCGCAGGAACCAGCGGTCCCCCAGCCCGTAATCTCGCCCGAAGATCCCAGAGCGAGGCCATAGGCAGCGAGGCAGCTTCCGCTCCAGCATCACCGTGGTGGCCACGACCTGCGTGTGGGGACAGAAAGGGAAGTCAGAGACGCGGCTGGGTGCAGACTGAGATGAAGGAAGGGCAGGGAGGAGAGAGGGGGCTGGGCGGAGGGGTGCCAGTTCAGCAACAGCTAGGAAACTCGGGAACTCACGCTGACAAACAGCGCCCCTAAGCTGAGGGAGGTGGGCCCTCTTCTGTGAGGGAGTCAGTGGGACGCGAGCCCCACAGTTCTCGGCCCAGTGACCTGCCACGGGGTCCTGATGCCAAGCTGGCCCTGCGGGTTGAGCGACCTCACTCCAAGGAGCACAGGAAGGTGAGCAAAGCAAAGGGGTGGGGGTGGGGGGAGGACCCACAGGGCCACAGGGCATTTCGACCCCATGGACAGACACATGGACCACTTATCAATGCAAGCATCCTACCGAGAAATCTGACTTCAGTGCATTTGCGTGGAAAAAATATTTTCCTGAGCAAACCCCATTTAGCCAGTTTAGGGTTTGGTTTTGTTTTTCCAAACTATGTTTTCTGCACCGTACAGTTCAATGCCAACCAGGTTTGGGGATTTCCATTTTTATTTTGCTGAAATTATTTTGTGAGACAAATTCCCTACGTATACTTTCCAATGACGATTCGATTCGTTTAATAGTTTTTGTCCCCATCACGGCGCTCTGACGGAAGAGAGTTTCTGCTACTATGGAGTTCTCGTGGCATTATTTTTAACATGTCTAATTTTTCTGGGTCAAATTTTGAAGACTTAAATGTTGCTAAAAAGATGTGATACTCCAGTTTTTATTCAGTAACAAAATTTACTGAGTGCCATTTTAGCCACTATGAGCTTTATTCATTTTTTTTCTTGATTACTCTAGAAAAGACTGAGGTTTCGATTCCTGAGCAAACTGAGGAATTTCCTTTCAGCTATTCCAGAATGGCTAGTCCAGTTCTTCTGCCCACCGTGCATTATTCCGTGTACTGTGCAGTAACCATCCAGACACACGTGGGGTCAAAATATCCTGCTGCTGTCAGAATTTGTCCCGGTCCTCAGCAGACTGGGAAAGGCCTGCGCTAACCCTCCCAGCCACCAGGGGGCTCACCTGGGCCCTCCAGAGCTCATCCCGCTCGTGCGCCACCCGCCAGTGAGTGTCGCCCATCATGGCAATGAACAGGTTGAGCATGAGCAGCGTGGCGATGATGGCAAAGGCCGCATAGGTGATGCTGTACATGAAGGGCAGGTCCACGTCGTAGTTGGCGGGCCCGTCGATGATGGTGAGGAACATCTCAAAGGTGCTGAACAGCGCCATGGGGTAGTTGTAGAAATGGCCCAGCTCATCCGGGTTCTCTGTCTGGAAGATGATGTAGAAGGCTGCTCCGCCCAGGGGGTGAGAGTCGCCGTGTTCGTGACTAAACCGCAGCCAGCCCCGCGTGCCCGTTCCCTTCGTCTGCAATGGCACCGTCCCAGCCCTCATCCCTCAGTACTCCAGGCGCTTACGGTGCCTTGTTCTCCATGTGGCTCACCCTGCTGCTCCCGGGGGCCACCTCCCTCTCACGCTCCCGGTTTCCCCCACCTCTGAGGGGCGTCCCATGCTCAGACACTGTGCGCCCCACTATCTCTGCACATTCATCTGCACCACTCTGCTCTAGAGGCTCCTCCAACCCCTCCTTCCCGTGGTCCCCATCCCTAACGGGTGGGTGGTTTACCTGAGGTAAAGCCCAGGATGACCACAGCCATCAGCCAGCAGAACCGCATCAGGTCGCCAAAAATCATCTAGCAGAGAAGAGAGGAGGGAGAACATCGCACCTGTCACTTGAGCGACTGCCCTTTCCAGCCTCCAGCAGGTCTGACCCTGACTGTCACAGCTCCGCCCTGCAGGCCAGACCCACTTGGCCTATTTGGGTATGGCCCTTGAACTAAGAATAGTTTTTACATTTTTAAAGGATTTAAAAAAAAAAAGAAGAAGAGGAGGAGGAAAAGAATATACAACAGAGACCAGAGGTGGCTCACAAGCCTGAGGCGTCTGTGATGGGCCCTTTGCGGAGATGGCTACCGCCTTCTCCTTGGGGGGCCCTGGGGGAGAGGCACGCACCTTCTGGATCATGATGGTGAAGGGGCCCAGCATCTGGAAGCCTCGGGCAAAGTACATGACGTTGCACCAGCCTAGCACCAGCGCAAAGGACATGGGCACCACCTCCCCGCTGGTGTTGGTGAGCCGCATCGCCATGGTCACCAGCACCAGGGAGGCATAGGCGATGCTGGGGGGAGAGGGGGTGATGAGAGGGCGTCCGGGATTTTCCTGGGGAACCCAGAGCAAGAGCACGACTGTGACAGCACCCGCACACTCAGATTCAGCCTTCGGACGCTCAGCGCACGGGGTCACGCGTGCGTCACTGAAGAGGGACCTCTGGGGTTAAGGTCCTCCAGGCGTCAGGACAGCCAGGGACTGAAAGCAGAGCCCTAGCGAGGGGAGGGACTGGGGCGAGAGGAAGGAGACTCACATGAGGACATGGAACGGCCCCCCGAGGATGGTGTGTCCGAAGAAGCGTGTGAACCCCACCCTGAAGATGTCTGGGATCTGGAAGGGCACAAAGGCACTGTGGGCTGGGGCTCAGGCTGGATCCTGGCGGGGCAGACGGCCCCTCCCCAGACCCTGCCCACGCCTCACCTCGAAAATCAGGATGATCATGGCTCCAATGACAGTCACCAGTTCCCCCACCAGTCGGATGCCATCCTGGGGGGTCACGTAGGCCTCCTGAGGGGAGAGACCTGGTCAGAGCACTCGGTGCTTCCATGCGTCCGCCCTGCCTGGCCCCGGACAGAAGTCAATGTCCCTCATAGAGGGTCATGAGCCCTGTCCAATTATTTTTAACCCATTAGGGTTGGCCATCTCAAACTCTGCTCTTTGAGCGCATGCGCGTTTCTGTGTGCGTGCATTTTGAGTTTGTGCCTATTTGAGACCTGGGTGAGCGGAGAAATGTGGGTGGTGGGCAGGAACGTGATACAAGTGATACAAGTCTGATCCTGCCCCGCGGTGTCACCTGCTGCTCTAGGGGGTCACCTG